CTAACAGGTCCGACAAATTATGCTTAAGGCATCCTCTTCGAATTGAAACTCTTTCAAAAGAAAGCTTTATCAGTAAACACTGCTGTACTTTCAGAACCCAATTTCAATAAATCCAACAGTTTGAAGCATGGGATTACCATATCAATCCCCATGAAATAATAATAAATAAATAAAAAGGTCGGCCAACTTTGTATCGAAAGTCAAAGCCACGTTCACTTTTGACAAATCATTTCTGGAAATCCATCCCTCTTCTCTCTCCATCGTCAAAAGCTTTGTCTCCCTCCTAACTTTGTATCGAAAGTCAAAGCCACGTTCACTTTTGACAAATCATTTCTGGAAATCCACCCTCTCTCTCTCTCCTCCATTGTCAAAAGCTTTGTCGCCCTCCTCCTTTGCCTCTCTGTGTCAGCCTAAAGGATTGACTGTGAAGCGTGAAGGCAAACGTACCAACTCATGCCCTCCGCCGTCCATTACTACTCCAACATCCGGTTTATTCATGTGCGACATCCTAACGACTCCCTTGGTTTCTGATTTGACACGTGTCCAAATGCCAATCTCATTTTTAATCCAAGGGTGGAGATCATGGGGGGCAAAGCACGTGAGGGAGGGAGTGAGAGTGGGAGAGAACTTGTGATATTTGGGCTTCGGCCCAAACCTTTCAATCTTTGAGGATAACTGGTCCATTTAGATTTTTTCAAAAAAAAAATGATTGACACAAGGTCAATTTCAAATATTGTTGGATGTAATTAAAAATAATCTTAAACAATATTTTTTTTCTATTCATAGGAACTCGAACTTGAAAATTTGTGCTTAAATGGTCACTGTTTTTTTTTATAACTAGAATCAACACCTGTTGGTAGGTTTATTTAGAGGTTAAAAAGAAAAGAAGTGGAATGAAATAGGTGATTAAAGAATAAGATAAACTGAATTAAGATTATATATTTATTTGTTAAATATTTAATCAAGATTATATATTATTTATAGAAAGCAGTGATGGACTAGAAAAATTTAGTGATGGGGGCAATATTTATATAATAATTTTAAAAAATATAAATTTAAATAATAATGAAAATAATATATAAATAAATTATATGAGAAGTTTAAAAATATATCTTAATTTCATTTACATCATAAACTTATTCTTATTATAGATAAAAGGATAAACAATATTTTTAAATATATGTGTTTATAGTTTTAAAGAGAATGCAGGGAAATTGATTTTTTATGGGGGCAATTGCAATTTTAAAGAGAGGGCAAGTGTAATTTTAATAAAAATGTAAGTGTAATTTTTGCAGATTTGATGTGGGCAATTGCCCTCTCTTTCCCTAATGTGTTTACGTCCCTGCGAGAAAGAGAAGCCTAATCCGTTTGCTTATTTTAGTAGGCTGGCCCAGCAAAATGGGCCCAATGCTGGCTAGCCTTCATCATTTTTTTTTTTTTTTAAGAAAGACCACTCTTGTCCACTTGTCTCCTCCTAATTCCTAACATAAGTTGCAAGCTAAGATGACCTTTAACCTTAAAAAATATTTAAAAAAAATAATGAAGGCAATAAATAGTAAAATGATAACAATGTCTATTAGAGCCTACAGTCATGTCCATATAAAAACAATAAAGGCATTTGTACACTAGGCTTATGCGTGCTATGGGCTTTTGATTGCCGGACTAGTTGTGCTATGTTTGTAATGGGAAGAAAATAATGAGAGAAAACTACTAGGAAAAAAAAATATTTTTCACCCATTTTTTTACAATTTTCCTTAAAATAGGAGATAAATTAAAGAAAAATTTTGTACTAAAAAAAGAAAAATTTTCTCTTTTTTTAAAATTTTTATCTCTTAATTTTTTCCTCCCATTTTAAACAAAGAGAGAAGGTAAATGACTTGTAAATAAAACGAGAGTGAATACATTATTAACATTATAAAAAAATTCCATTTTTTAATTTTCTCCTTCATTACAATTAATGTCCACAATTCCATTATGAAATCAAGATAATGCTATAATCAGAAAAAAAAATCCTAAAAATTATATATCCTATATTTTAAATCAAATAGAACTTTTAAAAATTACTTTGCATTTATAGCTGAAGGCAGTACATATCTCTTCAAATCTTTTATTTTTTGATTCCGTCACTCTAGGAAATTTTAAATGAAGACTTACGTCATAATCTCATGTTCATGTTTTTAATTACTATTTTCAAGTTTAAATCTTGTCCTACGATGGATTTCCTTCTTTCATTTATTGATGAAGGAATATTATTAATAAATAATAAAATAAAAAATAGAGTTCAGTCAAAGTCTTATTAGATTTGCGTGTAGTAAAATTTACTTGACTACTCATATAAGATCATATTACTAAAGTCATATTTAAGATACATAGCAAATACACCAAAAAGAGGGGGGGAAATGAACACCGTGAGAGGTACTTCATTTAGGGTAAGTTCTTCTCTTAACCGCCCACCACTATCTATAGCATGAAGAGGTCACCGTTGAAAAGAAAAACTCAATCATCATAATTCACCTGATAATAAAAAGAATAATTTGATTGGAATAATCGCATTAAATGCATGGGATGACTTCTTATTTTGGAACCAATCAGGAATGATTTCCAGTAAATCATAATCAATTTGAAACATATCAGATTTCCACTTACTGTTCCAACAAAATGATCCAATTACTGAAAAGGGCAAATAGGTAAATTCAAATCATTGAAGACATGCCAATTTGTACGATGGAGGCAGCATGCATTATTGTGTAGTGGGTTAATGAATATTTTAAATTTTAAATTATTATTTAAATAGTATTTTAGATTTTAAATTTTTAAAATAAGCAAAATTCCACATCAATTAGTAAATTCTAAGTAAATTACACCCACCACCATTCATTCATACAACATTTACTATTATGTAACCCAGCTAGTATGTCACGTGTTAATAGGAGATTAGTACCACATCAACCTTTGATTGGGTCCTATAAAGTTAAAAGTAATGGTAGTTATATGTAACTTAACGATGAAAGGTAAATTGTTAAGAATTTACAAGTTAAGGAAAGTTTTTCCTCATTTTAAGAATTTAGAGTTTATGATGTTATTCGAGTAATAATTTAGAGTCTAGGATGCTTATTGGCTCTTATATATTTATGTGCATCCCTCCCAAAAAATAAAGCAAACATTAAAAAAATTATATATTACACTTATAATTAAAAATAGTGTTACGAGAATTGGACTGAACCAGCCGGTTCAACCAATTGAATCTATAATTATTCCTCAGTCAGGCCTGATTACAATAAAAAATTTTCTTTTGAGAACCGTTGAATAATCGGTTGAAGGCATTCCTAGTGGACAAATTAGTTGAAGTGGTTCTGGTTTTTTTTATTAAAAAATGTTAATTCATATTTAAAACTAAAATTTGTGCATAATTATACCTAGTAAGGATTGATAAATGAAAAAATGACCAAAAATGCAATAAATGTGTATAGAATATATATATATATATATATAATTATAAAATTATAAAATAAGTATGCGTATATATTTTTTTTGGATTAAAATGATGGAATATTGATTAATATTAACTTTTTATTTTATATCATTTTATTTAAAATTTAAAAATTCATTTTTATTATTATATATAAAAAAAATTTATTTTAACATATATTACTTAAAATATATTTATTTATTTATTATCAATTAAACTATAGTTCAATTCACGATTCGATCATTGAACTATGAATTAATAATAGTACCTCATCCAATTTAATGAATGACTAGTTTGCTTTTCATAACATTAATTGAAAGATCTTAATGGCATTAGTTTAACTCATCAAAAGTTATTATAGTTAAAATTAAATTATGTTCTCACAGCACTTGAACAATATCATGATATATCTTTTAGATTTGTAGAAATACGTGCTCTTGATAGGCAGCATCCTAAAGTGTGGTCCGCATTGTTTTTTATGCCCAAAAATATACATTTCTCAGATTCTATTTATAAAATAAAGAGAGAATTTTTTTTATCTTATTTATAAGTCACATCATTAAATTTTTATTATAAATTTTTACTTTTACCCTCCATTGCATGTTGAAAAAAGAAAATATGTTATTGAATTATATATATTTAACAGGGACAAAGTTAAAAACTTATTAAATTTTAAAGTAAAGTTAATAAGTTTTAAAATTTTTATTAATACTAGTAAAACATATTGAAAATAAATTATAAATAAGATTAAAAAAGTATTATATTAATATATGAAAACATAATATAGTATAACAAAATGTGATAAATTCATAAATCCTTTGTGATTAAGTTCCACACAATATTAAAAAAATCACGGATAATATATTTTAATCTCTAGTTTTTTTTTTCAATTACCAATTTATTCATTAAATTTTTACTCAACACAATCCTTTCCTTGTAATCTTGAGTTGAGAAATGATTATAGAATTGAATTGTATTGAGTCAAAAAATTATAAAGATTGAATTATTTCAAATAAAAAAATATAAGAATCGAACTGTTTCTGAACAAAATTTAAAGATTGAATTGATAATTAAGAACAAGTTCAAAGATGTATATTTTTCCAAAAAAAAAAAAAAACTATCAATAGGGGATAAGGAATAAAACACTCCTCAAAACACCTGGCTAGCAAGTGAGGCATGTGAGCGCACACAACATATACTCCCACCATCTTTATATATAAAATATTTTTAATCAAATTTTTTATATTAATAAAAATTTATTATTTAATTGAAATCACCTGAAATCATAATGATTTTTTAGCTTTGATTTTACTAATATCATAGTTAATATTATATAGTAATGGTGGATAAATCACGCAATTAATATATCTTTTATTTTTCAAAACAAGAATAAAATTATCTAATTACTTACAAATATTATGAACCAATCATATTTAGAAATAAAATAAACTTTTAAAAAATACCTTATATATAATATAAGGACTGAGGGAAGATATATGTTAGCTGCAATGTTTAAAAAAAACTCCTAATGTTTTAATAAACTGTCTTCTTTTTTGTTATCAAAAAACATCTGCCATGTTAAAAAAGATATTAGAATCATTCGCCAAGAATTTGCTGACAGTGAACTAATGGCATGTTTCATATCATGCAAGAGTTTTGCAACTCGGGTAAGGGATTGAAGGGAGTAAAATATATATGACTACAAGACCCTCCAGAAAATAAAATTAAAACGGGAAACTTCTCCCCCTCCTCCCACAAACAGTTAGAGTTTTTTGATATGCCTTATACTTTCAAATGTTGGGTGTGTTAATCCCCCTCTTCTAACACCGGTTAAAAATTGTTGATGTGGCTAACAAGTATCTCCATGCAAGCATCCAGGTAGGTAGATTAATGGCTGCAACCAATTTTGAAACAAAAGAATGGTTCGCGCTCCAGATACTGGTCTGATCACTTCTGCATTTAAACTGCGGAAAATCTGTGCCTATTTGCCCAATACTAGGGGATCTGGTGCTGGGTGTGGCGATGGTTGCGCTTCTTCTTGGGGCCAGGTTCCTGATCTTCGCCGGAGGCTCCATTTTCCTGGTTATCATCATCTCGAATTCAGGGGACGTCGCTCTCCGATGTGTTGGGAGCCATGTCCAGTACTGGATGGAGCTTATTGTTTTTCAATCTAACACAAACAATACGAGAAAATAGTTCACTCAAGACAAACATCCGAGCAAGCAAAAATTTTAAATTTCTTACCAAAAAAAAAAACCATTTTTTTATTTGATAAAAATTGTGAAGAAAAGGTTTGCAATTGACAAGATTTATTAATTGGAAAACCAAATCATAGGATGTGGGTAACTTCAAACAATGATGAAAAGATAAGAGAAAGGCCCGAGGATGATCCAAAGCCACCACCAACGTTGTTGTTCCTTCTGAACATTGAGGGCGTGTTTCTGGAAGGCGCAGATTTTCCAGATTTAAAATGCAGAAGTGTACAGCCCGAAGCGGGCTCTTGAGCTCGAACCACTCCCTGTTTCAAGTTTTGCTCTCTCCATTTCAACGCACGTGTTAGCCATTCACCACCTACACGCTTACACGATTAGCCATATCAACAAAGTTTAAATGGTGTTAGAGGGGAAGAATTAACAGGCCCAACTAAAACAATTAAAAATTGGTATAAACTATAAAGAACTCTTGAATAAGCAGTCTTGTATTTATTTTTTTGTTACATTTTTTGAAAAATATCAAAATTACATAATTTTACAGTTCCTTTTTTGAAAACATTCAAAACTCTATCAAACTTTTAGATATTAACACATTTATTTTAGGGAAAATTGTCAGAAAATCCTTCCTCAAGGGGAAAATTATTTTGAAGAACTTGAACCTACTTAGGGATCAAATGCACACCAAGTCTATCACCTTTCACTCCAAACTTATAACCTTGTATTCCAAATTTATCACCTTGTACTTCAAACCTATGATTTTACATACTAAGCTGACCTTGCATATCATAAAGGTGTAAATTATATGATACTTTCAAAGGCTGTTTTGTACCTTTGCACAGCAAAGTGATAGGCTTGAGGGCAAAATAATACAATAATAGGGTTGCTGTGCAAGTAATAAGTTTAGTGAAAAAAATAATAAGCTTGGTGCGTATTTGATAGTTAAATTGTTATTGATTTCCCTAAACAACTTATTTTCAAGGAGAGATTGTACGACAATTTTTCCATTATTTTATGTAGAATTCATGCTGAGAAAACAAAAAATAAAATTCGCAAGAGAAGAGATCAGGATTCACAAACAACCTAAGCAGCCAATAACATGGGTGGCCAAAATAATTGAACAGAAGCCACAACTGACTACAGCATAACTAGATCAAATCGACTCAGAATCATTGATAGCAGCCGAATCAACGAAATTGAAACTCTAACCAGCCAAATAAGAGAAGCCGGAGTCGGCTGTGGACCCCGAAAATCCCACAATCGGATCGCATCGTCCTCGCACATCAGTCGCAGCGGTTCGCCGTCGACCACACCCCCGGATCCGCCACCTTTGATCTCGTTGCTAGTTCATCTTTAGCACATGGCTCCCCAGAAGAAGCTATGCGTTTTCATCCTCCTGGCTATTCTAGAGCTGCGATGAGAGAGAGAGAGAGAGAGACAGAGACAGAGAGAGAGAGAGGGAAAATTTGAAGAAATGGCAGGTTACGAGTCAGTGTGGTTTCAGAGACTGAACACCAAACTTGATGCAGAGTTTCAGAGGTCATGGGGTCTGAAACCACACCGACTCGTAAACTGCCATTGCCTTCATGCCGTCCGCTTCAGTCTTTGCTTCCACTGAAACCCCTACATGCCCAACGCAATTTATAAGAGAAACAAGTCCGCCGACTTGGTTGGGCCTGTTCAAACACCACCCATGGTTTTCTTAACAGCCAACTTGCTCAAATATTTACCATAATTTTTGTTATTCCCGCATTTTATGCATTTTTTTCACCAAAATGTAAATATAATAAAGATTTGAATATGGTAAGAGGCTTAAATTCATTGATTCAATTAATGTCCCAATTTACAGCTATAAAATTTCAACAACACTAAAAAATTATTAAAATATTTTTTTCTAAAATTTCAAAACAAAAAAATACTCCTCTTATACATAATCCCCTTGAAGAATTTTGAAATTAGATGTTTTATAAATCTTAATTAAACTAATATTATCGTGTCATATGAAATATTACTTCTAGTGAAAAAAAAAAAACGAGTGACTTGATTCATGCCATGGGATTCAAATAATAAGAGTAATAGATTATAATATAGTATTTATGAATTTTAATTTATATGAATATGCAACATTCGTTTTTTTTGGGGTTAAGATCCAATATTCATCGTCGTACCAGCATAATTGGTGGCGCCCAAGTTGAGTCATATATTGGGCTATATGAATGAGGACAAATAAAAGAAATAAAATAAAGATGGCGAGAAAATCAAAGCCACGTTGTCTCTTGACGAAGCATATCTTGAAATCCTCCACTCTCTCTCTCTCACATTTTTGCCCGTTGTCCTTGACCCCTCTCTGCAAGCCCTCAAGTGGTATGCCACCCAAATTTTCATCCCGTGGGTAAACAAATATTATTTATACACAGAAGGTTTGAATGTGAACGATAATGGTCCAATTCGGTCGGGTTTTTTCATCCGGGTTATCCTGATTCACCACTCTGAGTTTTTGATTTGACACGTGTCCAGATGCCCACGTGATATTGAATCCAAGGGCGGAGATTATTGGGGCGGAAGTACGCGAGAGCCACACGCTTTTTAGGCGGGGCGTGCACGTTGTGCGGCTTGGCGGTCAATAAATGCTTGAAAATTGGCCACAAGGACCATTTAAGAGTCCAATATTTGAGCATAGGTGGCAATTTTTGAAATAAAACTTACAAGGAACCATAGTCTTGGAGAGACTTGTTTTTTTCATAAGAAATACCAAAATAAATATTTTTCCTTTCTTTTTGTTGCACTATCATGTTGAACGTCGATGAATTTTCAATAATTTGTAATCTGAAAAAGCATGCGAAAAAGAAAGAGCATTTTAATATTTTTACGAAAATAGATATTGTCCCTCGAAGAAGGGGCACTTGCATGCTTTATTTTTACATTTAGGATTTATATTTAAATATTTAAGTGTTTTAATTTTTGTGGCCAATTTTCCCCATAATGTACAACCACGTCCTTGAGAAATAAAGCAGCTTTAAACGTTGGCATTGGGCTGGACTCATCAATTGAAACGGAAGGTGATGATTAAAAAGGAGGAGACACAATCACAAAGTAAAGGGCTGTGTTTGTCAGTGACGAATTTGTGGCCCCACCCAAACTTTTTTAAAAATAAATATAATTTTGTTTATAAAAAAAATGTAAAAATTACTGTTAGCTTCCCATATTTATGATGAATTCTGGATTCGTCCCTGGTGTTTGTGACGGGGTTTTATTTTGCAGCCTGCTGTACAGCCCTGCTTGTGAAATGCTCGAGCATTTTGGGTTGAGTAAAACGGGAGTTGGGCAATTCTCATGTTTAATGTGATACTTTGTTGAAGAGAACTAAAGCAAAGGCAGATCTTGAAATCAGAGGCGCGATTTTGACGAATCACATCTTGAAATCCATCTTAGTGTCTCTGTCCATTTTTGTCGCCCTCCTGTCTTGTCCATTCCGTCCGTAATTATTGCACCCAAATTTGAATGTGAACGCACATGTTCTAATTTCAAGTTCCAGCTCATGCCCTTCCACTAACATAAGGAATTCAAGTGGACTGGGTCTATTTAAATTTGATCTGAATAAATTTAATTTTTTAAATTAGACCGACTGAAAAGCTTAAATAGTTAAGCTCGATCTGAATTTTTTCAGGCTGTCTGAATATCTAAATTTATATTTTTAAAATTATTTTTAATTAATTTTTTAATTTAAAATTAATTATTTTATTTTTATATTTTTTAATACTTAAATGATGTATAAGACTCAAATATATGATATTTTAATATAAAATAACCTAAAAATTAATTAATTAATTAATATTTATCATATTTAATATATTTTGTAAAAATAAAATATTTTTATTCGGGTATTTGGGTCAAGCCCAAACAGTTCAGGCTTGGTTCGAATTTTCTCGTGTCTATTTAAGCTAATAGGCCCAAATATAAACAAATTATATTTTTTTTTAAACCTAGCCCTAACTTTTTTCAGATGGGTTCGGGCTAACCCGTCGGGCTCAACCCAAATTATCAACTCTACCTTCCACTGTTGAGGTTTTTTAACCTCGTGTCAAAATTAAAAATTAAATAAATCCTGGCCCCATGTTATTATTAGGTAAAACTGAAAATATGGGTGAGCCCGACCCTTAAAGGCCTGATCCTTAAACCCTAATTTTTTATTTTGAATATCATTTCTCAAGCCCAACCCTTACGTGAAGGGCTCAGAGCCGGGCTTACAAGTAGAGTCAAAAATTAGGACCGAGTATAAAAGTCCTGTTTAAATAAGGGTTCAGGCTTTAAAAATAATTTTTTTAAAGTAATCGAGTTTGAAAGTTTAGCCTTAATAAGCCCCGTAAAAAAAGGCTCCGGTTCGAACGGTCCTTCAAGCCCTGTTATATCAAATGTTAAACGTAAATTTGTTTTCTGTCTCTCTCTTTATTTGTTTATTACTTTTAATTTAGTTTAAACTTTTCCTTGCTTTTTAAATTTTTTATGAAGCTTAACGCTTGATCATCTTTTGATATACGTTAATTTTCATTACTTTTTGTTTTTTTTTTGTTTTGTCCACCGGGTGTTAATTAGTAGTTACTGAATTAATTTCTTCATTTACGTGCGATGGACTAATTATATATTCATCCCTTTTTGTTTTATTATTGGAAGAAATTCAAAAATAATGAAAATCGATAAAAACATATATATTTTTTAATTCATCAATTTATTTTATATTTTTAATTTCATTTTTTTAAAAAATTGTAATTTTAAGATTAATATTTTTTTCCAACAACATTAAATTAACCATCAAAATATATACAAAAAATTTGTGTATATTTTTATCATTATATGTCTCAATTGACTTTTAAATCAAATAAATTTTAGTTTGTTCAACTAATTTTAAAAAAAAATATTCAAACATAAATTATATTACAATCACATACTTTTCTCCTAACCTCAATTGAGTTTTAACTTCAATTGAAATTTTTTTAATCCAAATTCTAAAAGCAAGCAAGAAATTGCAATGCATCAGTATTCGCGTAGATGAAGATGTGGAAAAACAAAACAAAACAAATATTTAATCAAACACCAACTGTTTTTAACTTTGCGCCAATTGGTATTTGGTACTTTGTAAAAAGAAAAAGAGTGGAAAAAAAAAAAAAAGCTCCCCCCGATTTGGCGGACAGACTCAATTGAGGAAAGATGGAAAATTGACGAAAAAGGAAAGAGAAGATGAATGGCAAAGCAACAAAGGAAGACAAAATAACGCGTAGAATCATGGATGTTCGCTAGCCACTGAACTCCAACCAAACGAAGCAAAACAAGAAACGTAACATTGGACTCGTAGATGCGAAATGCGTGAAGGGTTGAAAAGATTGGGCTGATTCACTTCACTCTCTTTCAACTTATTTGATTGGCCGACAGATTGAGAATTAAATATAATAAAAAATGGAGAAAAAATAAATTAAATTTCTTTCCTATCCTGATAAATATAATAAAATTTAGATTAAAGTATACTTTTATTCTTTTAACTTTATACAAAATTTTATTTTAATCTCTTAATTTTATAAAGTATATTTTTAGTCTTTTAATTCTAACACTGTTAATTTTATCACAAAAAAATTTTACATTAAATTTTTAAATATTTACAAAATATTTTGAAATGATGTCCTATTATTAATTTTTTAAAAGGAAGAATTGCATCCAAACCTCTCGATAGAATTATTCACAAATAAAAACCAACAACAAGTGATCAAAAAAATAAGTCGCTATTATTATTTAATAATAAATGACTATGTATTGGTCTTTGTTTGTAAATCGTTCTCTTAGAAAATTCTTGAATGTGATTCTTTTCTTTTTTAAAATCACAATGATTGGTATTTTTTCTGTTAAAAAATATAAGACATTTTTTAAGAAATTGAATATTAAAAATATAAAGAATTTTTAGTCTTCTAAGATGTAATCATTCTCTTTTTAAAAAATACTTTTATTGATAATGATTTTATATTTATTATAAAGTATTTAATAGGGATAAATATAAAAAAATAGAGTTAGTTAAAAAGTAGGTAACTACTTTATTAAGAGTGAGATTTGATTAAAAATATCTTACCTTTTTTAACGAAGGGAGTATAAAAATAATCATTTAAGACTATCAATGCTATAATTAAATGGTTGAAAATATATAAAATTAAAATACTAAATTAAAATTTTATATAAAGTTTGAAGATTAAAAGTATATTTTAATCTAAAATCTAATATCATGTACCACAAATATAATAATCAGCTCAACCTCCACAAAACCTCATAAATTATGACTCTCAATTTCATGTATATAGTTTATTTATCTCCATTTTATACTTTGATATTTTATTTTTATCTTTAATTAATTATTAATTTATTTCAGTCTATTTCTATCTTTTTTACCAATCAAACGAGCTATTTATTTTTTATTTTTTTGTGATGGAAGGAGAAAAAAAAGGCATATAATAAAATTGTACATGTGTTTTTTTTTAAACTTTTTGTATACCTCGTGAATTAAGGAGATATTTGGGCCAAGAAAATTTTAAGTACAAATTAAAGGATGTATGATAGTTAATTTTAAAAAA